GTATATGTATATGTATATGTATATGTATATGTATATGTATATGTATATGTATATGTATATGTATATGTATATGTATATGTATATGTATATGTATATGTGTGTGACGTGCAGTCAGGGGAGGCAGAGCCTCACCACTGTCATCATGAAAAGAAAAGAAAAAAGAAAAATGGAAAGGAAAAAGGTTGCGCTATTTGCTGCCAGAGTCACAGTGGATGACTCTGCTTAGTGCTTAACTGTTTAAAAAAGCCTCTAAAAAAACACCCTCTACAGGAGGAGGCTGAAGAACCACGTGCCTCATCTAATCTGACTTTATGATCACTCAAGCAGAGTTAAGCAAGGGTTAAAAGCTGAAAAATTCCTAAGGTAGGTGAGGCAAGTGGTTCTCCTGCCTCCTCCTGTAGAGGGAGTTTTTTTAGAGGCTTTTTTAAACAGTTAAGCAGAGTCATCCATGACGACTCTGGCAGCAACTTACCCAGCCTGATCTCAGCTCTTGCCTTTTTCTTTTTACATTTTCATGATGCAGGCAAGAGCAGAGTTGAAATCCTCTGTGGATTTCAACTCTGGAAAAGGTATGTGTACTTGTGGGCTGGAGGGAGGGGGAGGAATTCAAACTTAATCCTCCTGGTGCAACTGTGTGTGTTTCTTTGTTTGAGATGAGTGAAGAGAGGGAAGGGAGTAGGAGAGGCAGGGAGGGCAGCCTCTGACTTTCGCCCGCCTCTGTATCCGCGGCAGCCTTTTGCCCGCCTGAGCTGGCGGGCTGCTGCTTTCTTTTGCCCGCCTCTGTGTCCGCAGTAATGGACAGAGAGGTGGGCAAAAAAAAGCGGCAGCCCGCCAGCTCACCCGCCTGAGCTGGTGGGCTGCTGCTTTCTTTTGCCCGCCTGTCGGAGCTCAGGTGGGCGAAAGAAAGAAAACGCTTTAGTCAGTGGGGTGTCGGGGGAGAGGAGAGAATACTCAGGCATTCTCTCCTCTCCCCTGACGTCCCACTTTCTAAAGCGCTTTCTTTCTTTCGCCCACCTGTCAGAGCTCAGGCGGGCGAAAGAAAGCGCTTTAGACAGTGCGATGTCGGGGGAGAGGACTGCCTCACCAGCCATAAACCACACTGCACGTCACACACACACACACACATATGGAGGGAGGGAAAGGGAGAGGGAGACCACACTGCACGTCACACACACACACACACACACACACATATGGAGAGAGAGAGAGAGAGAGAGAGAGAGAGAGAGAGAGAGAGAGAGAGAGAGAAAGAAAGGCAGGCAGGCATAAGCCTGTGAATGACTATCCTTAAAAGTGGAGTCTTCATTGTATTCTTTCCAGTATTAGATAAGAGTTGGCTGGTTATTCTGCCCGCAGTCTCCAGCTGCAACATGGAGGTCCTTAAGGCAGTAATATAACAATTGAAGACAATGTGTTTAAGATTGTTTGAATATTTTAAAGCATAATAATAATTAAAAGGTTTGTGCATAAGCCAGAGGTTATTGGTACACTGGGTCCATACCAAAATTTTGTTTGAAAGCTCTTAGAAAATATGTATATTGATAAAATTTGCAATTGTCAATTACAAAAGGCCACACAGCTTGGACCCACACATACCATATATTACACTGATACATTGCAATATCCTACAATATCCCTTTGGAAGAACTAGCTAAAGGACCGCAGTTCTGATTTTATATTTTTGTGTACATAATAATAATAATATTAGCATCAATTGCAAAAGACTGCTTGGAACAACTTACATCCTGTGGATGATATGTTTAACAATATCAGACTATTCCAAGTTGAAGGAGCTGGGCAAAAAAGCCAAATCCAGTCTAAACATATGGCTATGTGATGAACAATAATAAATTCTTACTTAGGACTTAAATTGTTAAATTTCCACCAGTCTTAAACTATGAATCTAACAGTAAATTACACATAATAAGGATGATGTATTAAATTTATTTGCCACCCAATTCCAAATTATAGTAATTAATATTCTGCTCAGGAATTCTGCTTATCTCAACTAACTTTAAAAAAATAGTAATTCAGTTTCAACATAACATTGGTGTTGACACCACAAATCTGTATACATATCCAGGAATACACATCTCTCTAATCTGCCTTCCTTCTGAAAATGTTTTGTTAAAAACAATTGAACATTATGATTTCTCTTTGCACTAATGTTAATCACATGAAGCAGTGCCTTTTTGTAAAGCTACATGTTCAATCAGCACTACAAAGACAGGAATAAGTAAACTCATCTAATCATCTAATGAGTTAAGTGAGATTATTTAATCAGGGGGGGGGTTACCTTTCTTGTTGGAAGGACTCTGCGGAGAGACTAAGGCTTATGCTCTCCTATCCTATATTGCCACCTCCTAATATGATTGCAAGGATATTTGAGAAATTTATTTGTATATATCCTGTCATTATTATTTTTATAAATAACTCAAGGGAGCAAACATAACTAGTTTTCTTTCTTCCTATTTTCCCCACAACAACA